CTTCTTAATATGGCCTCAGGCCCAACTTTGCAACCTAACCTCCACTATCCACTGACCAAGACACCACATTTTAGTGAACAAGACGATTCACCATTCATCCTCCTTGCTTGATGCTTTCCTGTACCTTTTCTCATGTCACCTTATTAGCCCTCTTCCAGCCTCTACCTCCTCCAGTCCCACCCATTTTGAAGGCTTATGTCAGATGCCACCTTCTTCAGAAAGCCTCCATTCACCCAAATATGGTTTTTCTCTGTCTCTCTCTCCTGCAAATTCCTCAGCACTTTACATGTTGCTGTGTTGTTACGTGCCATCGAGTCAGACCCGACTCATAGCAACCCCTCCTTGGGTTTCCAAGGCAGTATCACTATGGCAGATTGCCCAACCTTCCTTCCAAGGAGTGGCTGGTGGGTTTGAACCTCCAGCCTTCTGGTTAGCAGTCAAGTGCCTTAGGTACTATGCTACCAGGGTTCCCCAGCAGCTAGGGATTATAGCAATGTAAGTACCATCTTATGGACCCAGACTACAGAGTTGGAATGAGGTCTTACCCAACCTTGGCTTCATCACTGTGCCTTTTTCACCAAATACCAGCTGCCTAAAGAAGCTAGAGAAAAAATGAATGAAAGAATGAAGAGATGCTTAACCACAGAATGACAGACTGTTAGGGTCTAGAGGGGGGACCTCAGAGGACTCCTAGCCCAGATGAGGAAGGTATAAGAATAGGTTGGAAGTCAGTGGGAACCGATGGAGCCAAGAGCTCATGGGGAACCAGACTGGTCAACAGCCTCATGGCTTAGTCCTGTATCTGCCCCGTTCAGGGTGCAGAGACATCGGCTCAGGTTCCTTCCACAACATGGACCATGCATGGGAACAGAAAGAACCTGGTCAGGGCTGTCCTTTGCAGGGATGGTCCATGTCTTCCACACCCCTCTCGACTCTCAAGCTCAGGTGCCATCTTCTGGCCATGGACAGCACTGCACCTAGGGCAGGCAGTAGAGAGACAAAGGCTGAGGCCATCTTCAGCCTACTAGAGACTGAGGTCACTTTTGGGGCAGCAGAAATAACACCACCTCCTGGAGTTTGGGCTGCTAATTGCTTCCCAGAACTTGTCCCTTAGGACTTAAGCCTAACATTCAAAATAAGAGAAAGGGGGAAAAAATAAAGTTTCTTTCTCATAATACTTTCTGAGAAACTTTCAAGGCAGGCACACACACATATAATCTGAAGGCTGCTTTCCAGAAGGAAACACACCCCCCATCTAGCTGTGAGCCCCAGCACAGTCCCCGCCTGAGCCAATCCCATGCAAGAACGGTGCCTGTTCTCACTGACCCTCTCTCCTCTACACGGATGGGCAGACTGCTGTCCAGGGATTTGTTTGATCCAGAACCAAATGTAAAGCATGGAGTCACAAGTATTGTAATCTCTATACTGTCCCCTAGCCCCCTTCTGGGGACACCTCTCAGGGCCAGCTCCATCATACACCTGGTACAGGATTGATCTGAAGACATGAATGACTCTTCAACACCTCTACTGACAAGAAGGGTCCCCAGTAGGCATAGATGCTCCTAGGCCACCACCCCCTCCTATGCAGTCTGAAATTTAGAAGCAGTGACAGTCTTTGAGCTCTGGCTAACCAAGGTCTGGGACCTCGAAAGAAAAGGGTGATGCACTCAGGACTCCAGGGATGAAACAGCTGTCCCCAGAGAAATTCAGGTTGGTATGGAGGCCAGGATCAGCAGTCCTACTCAAACATGTTCTAGGGATGAGAGCTGCTCCCCAAGAAGTGTCATGGGAAGGGCTGGAGGAGGAGGGAAGCACACAGTGAGTGACTTTCCTCCGCCCTCATGCCCCCACACTCACCTACCCCGCTTCCCACACAGCCCCTTTCCCCTCCCTCCACCCACAGACTGAGAAAGTGTGTCACCAGGGAACAAATGCCATCTTCCCAGGAGGGAGGAGGAGAAGGAAGGGGGGAGGGAAGACTTTAACTGTGTGTCTATGGGGGCTGTGGTAAGGAACCAGAGGTTGCTGAGCCTCCCAGCTGTGAGGGACGCCCCTTCAGAATTGTGACCTTGACATCAGACACAGAGAGCACAAGGCACGCTGTGGGGCAGGTGCCACAAGGCCACACTCAAGACCACATGGTCAGAGCTGTGGAGAAGAGGCCCTAAGATGCAGGCAATTTCCCAGCCCCAAATATCCTTCAGCCAGCTGGGTGGCCCTGACCAGCAACACCCAGAACCTTCCATCTCGCTCTGCCCCAGCTTTGAGGGAGCCACTGCCAGGCTCTAGCTTCCCCACCAACCTCCACATCTCTCCACAGACAAGTTGGCCTCCAAGGGTTAATCTCCCGCTGCCTCCCCCACCCCTTGCATCCACCCCCACTGAGCTGCCACATGCCAGCAATGATGCACTTCACACTGTTATTACAGTGATTTATTTAGTTTTAATTTGGGGGTGAATCTCGTGCTGTTGGAAGGAGGAGGCCAACAGTCTTGGCAAGACGCAAAGCCATGCACCATGCCAATCCATCCCTTCTGCCTGGGGTCCCTCCAATCTAACTGCTCCTCCTAGCTTGTGGCCTAGTCCCTGACTCCAGCCCTGAATCAGTTTTCCCTTTGCTCAATCTCTTCCCATTTGGAAGAAATGTTTCTTGGTGGCAAAGGAATCTGCAGAGAATGCTATGTTCACCTCCTGCAAGATTCAGTCAATGAAGCCTCTCTCCAGCCAAGCTATCACTGAGGAGTGAGTTGCAATTATAGGCAACTGGCACCAGATCTGTATTAAGGGACTGATAACCAGGGCCAATTCTGCATAGATCAGTAAAAATGGATAAGATCATTATCCAACTTCCCCCTACTCTCAGCCCTTAGCTTAACTAAACTGTCACTCTTTTATCCATTAGTTTATGAAATACACACCGGGCATCTACCATATGGTAGATATGGTTCTGAGCATGTGTGGATACAGGGGTACAAGAACAATCACGGCCTTCATTCACAAGAGGTTGATGTCTTTGCAGTGCAACTGCCATATACAACCAACCACACCACAAGATGCACAAGTGGAGGGAGTCAAGTTCTGCAGAGTCCAAAGGAGGGATAGGATTGGTCTAGGGAGAGCCAAGCAGGCTTCACAGAAGAGGTGGGATTTGAACAGGACATCCTGCACCCAGCACAGTGCCTGGACTTCAAGAGATGATGGGATGGATAGACGAACAACCTTGAAAGACAAGGAATCACTTGACAGGGAAAGAACAGAGTAAAGACATTACAGCCAGATGGCAGATTGCAAGCAAAGCACTAAGGGCCTGGTGTACACAATGAGTCTCAGACCACAGTACAGTGGAGCAAGAACATAGGGAAATAACAATAACAACAGTAGTTAATGTTTGTTGAACACCTGCCCCATGTCAGGTACTACAGTAAGCGCCTTCCATTCATTACCCTTTCTAATCTTCACAACCCTATGAGGTGGGGACTATGGTTATTCCCATTTTACAGCTATGAGGTACCCAGAGGAGAAATCATTTGTGCAAGGGCACACACCTTAGAAGAGCAGAGAGGAATCAAGCCCATACAGGCCGGCTCCGGAGCCCCAACTCAAGCCACCGTACCACTCTGTTCTCCACATTACATTCAGGAAACTGACAGGCAGGCTGACATGACACCAGATTAGGATGGACCTGAAAGCCCTGCTCAGGATTTTATTCTACAGGCATCAGGAATAATTCAAGGTTGTAACCTAATCTTAGGTCAGGTATCAGCTGATGAAAGGCTAGCCTTCAAGATTCTTTTTACCAGGAAATTCTGGAAGACCCAAAGGATTCTCTAAGAGTAGAATTTCAAAGACAGTGATGGGTGAAGGGGAAAGGAAGGTTTTTCAGTAGGGTTCGCTGAAGAACCCTCAAATTACACCACCTCTAGTGACACAGTGGTTAAGGCATTTGGCTGCTAACCAAAAGGTCAGCAGTCCAAACTTACCAGCCACTCCACGGGAGAAAGCTGAGGTGGCATGCTTCCGTAAAGATTTCCAGCCTTGGAAACTCTACGGGGCAGTTCTACTCTGTCCTATAGGGTCACCATGAGTCAGAATTGACTCACTGGCAGTGGGTTTGACTTGGGAGGCTGGGCCTGGCCTGCTACAGGTGCCTGCTGGAACCCCTCCCAATCCCCAGAAGCACAGTGGCCAGAACAAGCCAGAGAAGGTCCATGCCTCTGTGTCCATTTTGGGTGCTATAATTCCTACAGGTCACTGCCACACTGGCAAGCGTGCAAGCAAGGCTGTCATACGGACAGGCCCTCAACCCCTTTCTCTGTAGCCCCAGGGACCAAAATGAGGATCAGAAAAGCAAGGTTTGAAGAGGTGGGTATGACCCATCATGAGAAAGCAGTTGCTTACAATTAGAGATGACTGACAACAGAAGAGCCTCCCTGGGCAGCAGATGATAGAGTAAGCATCCTGTCACTGGAAGTAATCAAGCATAAAGTGGAGAATGTTCCAGAAAAGACAATGTACAGGGCAATTCATTGGCAGCATCATACTGCAATGTACTGGAATCACTTACTAATGATACCCTTGGACATTTTACCTTATCCTCCATCCCTTGTCTGTAAAACAGGGTTAAAAACATTACCTACCTAATACGTTTCCCATAAGGATTAACTGAGACAATGTATGGAACAGCACAGCTGTTGGTATGCAGTAAACTCTCAATACTTGATAGATATCAGGTTGAACCATAGGACTCATAATAGGCTGCAGTTAAAAACAATCTAACAGCAATAATTTCATATGGTCTAACAAATATTTCTTACTCAAGGCCACGGAGGTTCTTCTCAAACTTTGATTTCGGCCCTGAAAGTTGAAATGAAATTTGGCTCAACTGGTGGTAGATCCCCAGCATCCTAGAGCTGGAGCAAGAACCCTTCAGGGCTTTTCAGAAGCAGGCTGTCCGGGGCCCCACCCCCCCCACCACCACCCCACCCAGCAGAGGCAGGTACCTCCTTGCCCAGGTCCTCACGGATGACCTGGCGGACCTCTTGCATGCTGCTCTGCGGGGCCTGGCTGTGAAGCACCTTCAGAGTGCTAGTATACTCCTCCGGCAGCAGGTAGTCCAGAGCCCCCAGGTGCTGGCCCACCTTGATGAAAGTGCCCCGGTTGGCACAGCAGAGCTCACAGAGTCGCCTGGCAGAGCGAAGGTGTACCTACAGGGAAACAGGCCAAGGCCAGAGAAGTATGAATGCAGGTTGCCCCTGGACATAGTTCCTTTTTCTGTCCCTCTCCTAAAGCCAGATTCACTCCCCAGTGTTCAGGGTATGCAAACACACACGCGCACACACACACACACACACACACACACACTTTCTCCTCCTTTGGTTTCCTGGTACCCCGAGAAACCAACTCCAACCTGACATTGAGACTGGCCTTTTCAGAAAGCCCCATGCTTCTGACCTCCTCCTCTCCATCAAAACTTACCCAGTCTGGGTCTCACTGACTAAGAAATGAGCCTTCAGGGCTTGAAACCAAGTCTAATCTACTAATGTTCCACTCATGGGTGTAGTGAGTCAATGTGTTTGTCACCCACCCCTCCGACACACTAATACTTTATGTTTGTTTGGAGCTCTACAATTTAAAATCATGCTCATATACTTTACTTCTTTTCATCCTGACAGTAAGCCTGGGAGGCAGGTACTGGTATCATTAAGGATAAGAAACGCAGATGTTTTGTTCAAAAAGAAATAACCAGAGTTCCAGCAAGATGGCGGACTAGGCAGAAGGACTGCATAGACCCTCTTCAACAAAGAAAAGGGAAACCAATTAACATAGACATAGATGATAATCTTGGACCCTGGAACCTTGAAGGGAAGGATGCAAAAGTGGACTAAACCCCAACTAGAAGAAGAATTTGCGTGAAAATACCAAAAAAGGAGACACACAGAGCAGTGCTCTGGCAGCGACCTGAGCGACCCTGACGGCACAGACAGCACAGACAGCTTGGAGATTCCCGAGTGGTGGTAGGATCTAAGAAATAACCTAAAAATCACCCTGCTAGCCAGGGACTGCACGGAGGACTGTGCACGGTGGCTGGGGAACAAATTGAGAAGGTGAAGAGAAAGGTGGGCTGAGCTGTGGACTTTTGCCAGTCTGGAGGACTCTGCCATTTTGTAGCTTTAAAAACCGGCTTGGATATTTTGGATATTTAAAGAGACAGCACTCTTGCAGATTCCTGTGATGGTAGGACTTAAGAATTAACCTAAAAATCACCCTGCTAGCCA